TTTATTACTTTTGTTAGTTGTTTTTAGTATTTTCTCTCACTTTTCCCCAGGCTTAATAATACTTTTCACATAAAAGTATACTAATAGTTACTAAAAAACGTTCCCTTATAAAGTACTTCATCCTTCAACATTCCACTTCTTTTTTCTTGTGGAACATGGTGCTTATGTAATATTTATAAGGTGTACGTCAACAGAATAGAGAGGCAAACAATCCCGTCTTTAAAGTAGTCTTATTGTTTTGCCTGCCAATGAATTATTGAATTGTTATTTTTTTGTTTTTTAGATAAAAAATAAAAAATAAACTATTTCAGTCAATAATGAAAGAGAATAAGTTAAATAGTAAATATGAAAATGGGCCGTCATACAATCAAAGTAAAATACGTCTTCGTTGAAAATATTATCTATCCAAATGACATTTTTCTTCACAATAACGTAGCAACTAGTTTTCACTAACTTTTATTACTATTAGATAAACAAAGAAACTATTAGTATATAATTTATTTTTATCATCCTATTCTAAAACTCAGAAAACAATTTCGTATGAGTCATAAGTTCGTATACAAAATAAATCATGTACTACCGATAAGATAAAAATATGACATCATTATTTTATCATTATCACTATAGTTTTCTTCTCAGTCAATATAAATATTTTGAAATAAATTTCTAAAAGATCTACTGATCGATTTAAAATTTCAACTGCGAATTTCATTCCTGAAAAATTATAGTATTATTATAACAATATAATATGTGTAACACATGTAGATACAAAAAAGATAGTTTATAATAAGCTACATTTAACTTTGTTTTTATTATTACGTTTTTTGAATGATAAACGAGCAGCAAGAAGAAATAGTTCATGTATTCCTTCATGAGTTTTTGCTGAACATTCCATATAAGCATCAGCTTTAATTTGTGTAGCTAATTGTTTTCCAGTTTCTGTTGTTACTGGTTTTTCATTTCGTTCTTTTAGTTTTGCAATAATTTGTGAATCGTTTCTTAAATCACTTTTACAAGCTACCAGTATTATTGGACATTTACCACAAAAATGTCGTACTTCAGGAATCCATTTTTCTGTAATACTTGCAACAGATACCGGATTATCAATACTAAAACACATAAGTATAACATTTGTATCTGGATATGAAAGTGGACGAAGACGATCAAAATCTTCTTGACCAGCTGTGTCAAATAAAGCCAAATCAACCTGTAAACAAAAATATTAAAACTAATTTTTCGAAAGATAATTTCATATTTATATACAGTTTTTCCATCAACTTCAATTTCTGCTACATATGTATCGAAAATAGTTGGTACATGATCAGAACTAAATTCATCGTTTTTAAATGCAAATAAAAGACAGGTTTTACCAGACATTCCATCACCAACAACGACTAATTTTCGACTTTTTTGAATACTTGGCTGTCGATTCACTGCCATCTAAAAATTAATAAAAATGATATGGAGACGAACTATAATCCAACGAAATATTTTGTGCTATTTCAGCACATTATTTTTCTGTTTTTGAAAGACTTTCTCTGATGAAATATTAATAATAAAAACAAAAAGCAAGTAAACGATAATATAAAGGTAGAAACATAAAATACACGTGTGTGAGTTCTTTGTTTCGATTATCTTTTGATTATGATATTGTCTTATATTTTGATGAAAGATAGTATTTTGTTTTTGTATTTACATCTAACTACCTGGAATAAAAAAGATTATCAATTACTTTCTATACAATATTTTTTGCATTCTACACATTTTATACCTATGACTAAAAATAGTATATTGAATTTAGTTGAATCATTCTTACACAATCTGACTAAAATCTAAGCTATACACTTCATTTCTATATCATTCGTTAATAGAATTAACTTTCTACGCTTATTTCTGAAAGCATTGAATTAAATTTTTTTAGACATAGGAATTTATCATCGCATATTTGTCTAATCTAGTTAATATAATCACATCTATTATTAGAATATCAATTTACCCGAAAAGTACTTACAAAATGTAGAAATGATCTCCAAGTTACAATAATAAAGTTTATGTGAAAAATATTTTTCTTCTTCTTCTTCTATGTTACTAAATCGTATATTGACATAAAGATAAAAAAAATAACACCGCTCTTTTTTTTTCAATATTATTCTCATTCGATTCATTCTCCATGCAGATACCGACAAATTAATACAGAATATACACATATTTCATTCTCAAATTCTATTTGTTGTATTATTTAGCTTATAAAACAGAAAATAAAAAAAAACCAACAACAACTGTTATACAAAAAGAAAATGAGATAACATAAAATAGA